AGAATATTTTGTTAGTTAAATCCATTTGCACCTTGTGTTTCAGTCTTCAAAAGGGTCCAACAAAGACATTGACTTCACTTCAGATAGTAATAATTCTCCAAAATCACATATGTATATCACATGCAGCTATGTACATTTTAAATGCTTGGTTTTTAACACATATGTTGAGTGAGAAGAATATCCTATGGAAAGAGAAATTGAAGTCATTTGAAAAAATAGATGACATCTAAGTTGTACATCTCAACATCTTGTAGCAGCTGGTCAATATGTAAGAGTTCAAAGGCTTGTACAAAGTTATGGTACCATAAACTTAAGCTATGTTTGGTAAAACTAGCTGATAAGCTAACTTATAACTATAGCTTATAAGGGATTTTCGAACTTATGACTTATGATTAAAGTGTTTGGTAAAATTAGCTTATAAGTTATAAGCTATAAGTTAGCTGAAATAAAAATTTCAATGAGCTTATATGAAAAGCTACCCATGAGATAAGCTCGAACTTTTTTAAAAAACTCGTCCTACCAAACGAATCTTATTTGATATAAGAAGCTTATAAGCTAACCAAATAAGCTATAAACTAGCTTATTTGGTTACCAAACATAGCCTTAGCGATTTAAAGCTAGAAAACGCCATGGAACATTCACAAAAAACTCTGCAGAGCCCATCTTAAAGAGAGAAAGAAAAGGGAAATACCTCAGTTTGGTCGGCTAAAATCACAAAGATAGCATCACTTAACGGATTTACAGTAATCCACTCTCCATCCTTAGAGACTTGAAGCCCCCCAACATCATCTTGAATAAGAAGTGTAATTGCACCAAAATCTGAATGAGACTGCAAGCCAAGAGTCAGCTCGGGCTGCGGGCAAGGCGGGTAGTAACTAACCGTGATGTTTTGATAAAATTCACCAACAACTTCTTTGATGCACGAAGAAGGAAGTCCTAAGCTCTCGGATATCATACGTAGTAATTTATCAGCGAGCACGCTCATTTGGTCACTATACTCAGCTACAACTTCTCTATAAACCAAATTTAAAAAAAAAAAAATGGTAATTAGTACTTGCAAACAAGATTAAACTGGGCAAAATCGAAGCAAACAACTCGGGAGAAGACAATTGATCATTCACCAAATCACCATATCAGAATCCTTCATCCAGCAAACAGCATAAATTTAAAAAAAAAAGTTTTTTTTTTTTCTTTTCTTTTCCACGACAAAGAAACTCCAATCACCTGTCAATCAATCAGTGAATCAACACATATCCTCATTCAAATTTAAATATTTTAAATCATTTTAAACTCCATTCACCTGTAATTGGAAGAAAAAGACGGCCACTTGGACGGGTCCCGGCGTGAAAGGGGTAACGAATGGTGATCAAAATAATCCCTCCAATCCAAAACAGTATCATTCGACTCGACCAGCATTCGGCTACCATAGCCCTCCGAAGCAGGCGAATTGGGATTGCACGCAAAACGAAGCTTTTGGTCCATAGTGCAGTCCTCGAAAAACGAGCAGCCCAATCTCCTCATCTCGTCTAACAGCTTGGCTGGGATCCCATGGTTCACCACATGGAATGCCCCCCACTGTTTGCACGCGTTGCCCAATTCACCTACAGAGTCCAAACTGCAAAGGTCGATAATTGGTGGGGCCTCTATGCAATTTTTATTTGCTTCGGGCGTATGCCGTGGCCTTGCTTCGACTGGCTGCACGTATTGAGGAGGCACAACTGGTTTTTTACCATCCTCGATCAATGACTGCACTCGAATTTCAGTACCCGCAACTTCCATTGAAATGACTACTGCAAGAGCTTCAGATCAAACATAGATTTGATTTAAAATACTACACAACTTCTGTACAGTAATCGAATACTTATAAGAGCCCAGCAGTATCTGCCATGAAAGAAGAGCAAAACACCTAGCTACTAACAAATTTCATTCCAACAGAATGGATGATTTTTTTTGCACGATAACTATAGAGTGAACTAGCCTGACAATAAAACCAATAGCAGAAAAGATGAATCGACACTTAAATCAATCATGCCCATCATACCAAAAAACACAAATTAGCTCAATATTGTTAGTGCGTACCTGAAATTTTAAGAATCAAAACCAATGTGAGAAACCCTTCGTTTATACGTTTATATGTCGATTCAGTGATAAAATCCAAATTCATTTGATAAGTGAAAAAATCATGATTTGAATCGGGCATGTAGAATTTGAACCTGAATAATGAGTCAAGTCGTCGGAGGAAAAGAGGACCAGAGTGAAGTGGGGGCGATGAGATGTTCAACCGAAAGGAACCCATGGGCAAGACTCCATTTTTAAATGGACGTTTGATTGGTATTTTTTTTTTTTATCATATAAAGTTTTTAAAAATGACAATCTGAAAGTATACAAATTGAAATTTCTTGAATCCTAAATTTAAAATTCTAAAATCTATAATCTATAATCTATAATCTATAATAATATAAAAAAGTTTGACATTTACCTGAAATAACAACTAAAATCCCGCTGAAAATTTTTTAAGTTACTAATCTTGGTAACTTTTTTGAAAACTCCCGCTAATAAAGCTTTAATTTCAAATTTCAAATTTTTTTTTGATTTATTTTAAGATAATTTTGATTTATTATAGAAACATATTTGGCTACTAATTTTAATATGGATAAAAGTCTTTCCTTAATATATATCATCATGTCCATTACAATTAAAATCTGCAACATTCCATATTAAATATAATATAATAATTTTTAGTACAATCAATGATTTGAGAATACAATAAATCAAATACGTCCAAGATTTTCCCACTTCCCCATATGAAAACTAATGAGTAATCTACTGTGGCTGCGATCATGGAGAGCAAGAGCTCCGCAGGAGCCGGCATTGTCACCGCCAAGTTGCAGCCTGAATTGCGGAGAGGATGAGTCGACGTTATAAATTTGACGGTGTTTTCGACGGAATGCCGAGTTTATGGTCGAATCTTGGGCGATTGGGGGGCCGAGCTCGCTCGAAGCAGTTACTTTGAACAGCTAAATGAAATATTTTTCAGTGTTTTTTGTTGTATTTCTTTAGCTTTTAATTAGGTTACAAGGACCTTCAATTTCAGTTATATGTCGTCATGTTTCTGTGCCGATTCCATGTGTGTGTTTGTGTTTGTGACTCTGCGTGTTGTGTGCGCGGATGGCTGTTGAAATGTTTAGTCTGTTAGATTCGATTTTGAGATGTAATGTTGTTGTGCTCTCTGATTGTGGAAGGGCTATGCGCCGATCTGTTTGGGGCTGGAGGATTTCTACATTCGGAGATTGTATCTGCGAATTCAGGTTCGTTCATTGGAATTTAGTCTTTATCATTTTTGAAACATTTGATTATGTTTTTCGCTTGTAGTGATCTGTCGGCAAAACAAAGTGTTTGGTATGTGATAATTGTTGAATTGACTTCTATCAATTTCGTCTGATTGAATTTTTCAATCCGTTCATGATTTTGTAATTTATTTTTTATTTGAGATGTTTTCAATTTTCAAATTTTGATTGCTTTTGTGGTGAGATGCTGTTTGGGGAGCTAGATTTTATTTTATGCTCCTATAGTGGGAAAGTTCGGGAAACGAGTATTAAAGGAGCTTTTCTTCATGATATTCACCCTCCAATTTTAGTTCTGATGAAATACGGAGAAAAGGAAAATTGATTGAGAATATCATGTCTCGACATGCATCAGAATTTTATGCAAATTTTGGGAGGGGGAGAATTTCAATTGTGCGAAATTCTATGTCCACCTTACATTGTAAAAAGATAGATCTTGTGGTTCACATCATTAACATCCACTTTTTTTTGGCAGGATTGCTTTAAATTTAATAGACCAATAGCAAGCCCGCCTGATTCTTGGTTTGATTTGGTGGAGCGTGTCTCCAATGGCAATAACAAAACATTAAAGTAGGTACTTGTGTCCAATTTTGATGATCTACTATTGTGATTTGTTAAGTTCTATTTCCAGTAGTTCTTAATTCTTATTTACTGCTTCCATGGTAAAACCAAAACACTTTCTGGGCCTGCTCGCTATTGCCTTCAGCTTTTTTATGAGGCCCAACTTGCAGATAGAATGCTACAAAATGATTACCTCTCAATAGTAGACATTTCTGAGTAAAAGCTTCTTTTAAAATATTTCAGTTATCAGTCAATTTCAGGTCGGAATTTTCTCAACGAAGAAGACGATGTGCTCTGCTCAGATTTTTTCATGAGAAGGTGCATTGTCTGCTATTATCTTTCTGAAAGTCAGAACTGCAGAAGGGAGCATATTTGGGAACAATTTTTGGCGAAAACAACGTACGTGAGAAGACGAGCGGAGTTTCTAAGCGCCGGACATGGCTGACCTGAACGTACGCTGACAGGTGGACTGGTACGAGAGAACTCGGGCAGCAAACATATGAGACTCGCCCCATGGTGGCTGAGGCTTGGGACAATATAAGAAGGTCGATGGATTTACTTTTGTGGCAGACCGGTTGGGACTAAAGCTGCTCTGATTAACTCAGATGAGAACCTTAATTATGATTAGATGAAGGACAAAAATTCAAGCTTTCAATACTAATTGAATGTGTTGTGTTCTCTATTAGTGTGATTTGTTGTCTGTGGTGGATGTTAAGTCAATGAGAAGATATAGCGTGTGTTGTTCAGTGTTCAGTTAGATTTTAAGTCTGTTGGATTAGAGGTTTTGAGTAATTTGTAGTATTTCTGCGGATAAATGCAGTTATAGGTTCTTCATTGCTCTTAGAATTCGTTGTCAAAATATGTCCGCACATATCTTTGTGATGGCGTTGTGATTTTGTGCCCGTGAGTAATCAAAGCTGCCATGGGTGTGTTATAATGTGGTGGCTTTTGGTGTCTTTATCANATGGGTTTGTGGATTGAGATTAATGGAAATTTCATATTCTCCCTGTATTTTGTGCCCATTTGTAAACAAGTTTAATTGGTCGGCAAAAGACCTCATAAGATGAGGTCTTGAAAATATTTTGATCGTTGCAGAGCTTTCTCTCATTTCTTTTTATATTTGTTGATCTTTATGTATTTTATGAATATGTGGAGATAATGCTGGTGTGAACTAATTGAGAAGATGTCTAAATGGCGTGAATTTTGGTGATTTAATTATAATTATGCTATGCAATTGACAAAAATAAATGCAAAATCTTGGTTATAAAATCTTTTCAACATAAGCTTCTATGTTTGCTCTGTTTTATTTGTGTGTGAACAAGATAAAAAAAACATATATATATTTCCCCCAAAAGCATGCGCCTATAGTAATAAGGCCGACCAAAATTACACAAAGTGCACGATTATATAGAATATTTAATTTGATATGGGATAATAATTTACCTACTTAAAATGATTAATTTTAAGCCAAAAGCAATTTTAATAATCTCTATTGATTCGTATCTCCACTGATTTAATATATATCTTCAAACAAAGACAAGTTTAGCATTAATAATATTTCTAATGATTTAGTGTCAATTCATTAATAATATCTCTAAATAAATTGTTGGAATAATGTAGGTTTACCATTATACTTATTATTCATATTGATTTTTAAACATGTGATAAAATTTTACCAAAATTTTTTTATTTATGGAATCGCATTATAGTCAGATCGAAGTTTTAAATAAAAATTTTAAAATAATACTTATTTGAAATTAATAATATAATTTATAATCAGTTACGTGCATCGTACGAGTTATGCACTAATTTTAAATAGACATGGGTAACAACAAAATTCGTGTATTGAATTTATAAATACGAAAAATATTTTACAATCTCTATATTCTCATCTGATTTTTTTCACGAACGATTTTGAATCTTGGAGCGAAATTTTTGGCTTGATCTTCCCCTTCACTTGATTGAGTTCAATTAGCATTAATTCGAGGGTCAACGCCTTAATTTTGGATTAAACGCTGTAATTTCCGATAATATATTTTATGTAATTTTTCACAATTTATGGATCAAACGTTGTAATATTCCAAGAACATGTTTTATGTAATTTAGTACAATTTAAATTTCATATAATATTTTCAATAAATTAATATAGGTAAATTTTATATATATTAATTCCACATTTTTAATTTATAGATATTATTTAACGAGAATTTTTTCATTTATAAATATTAATGAATATCTCTTACCCGTGCATCGCACGAGATTCGTACTAGTTACACAAAAAAAAGTTATAAGATAATTAATAATTATTTTTAAATTGAACTTTAAAATTGGTCAATAGCTTTTGAAACGAAAAAAATGTGCAGATTTATGATAATTGATTCATCGATAATGGATGAACGAATAATGTAGGTGGAATGTGAGCATGAGGAAAACTTTATATTTTGTTTTTTGATGATCAAAATATCTAATTTTCAATGTGGTTTAAAAGTTTAAAATTTGAGTTTTTCAAAGAATCTGAACAGGTATTCCGAAAACCCATTTTCCGAAAGCTTGCTATAGTCATCGGTCTTTCCTTGCATTTCAGAGTTCGATTCCCGCCCTTTCTTTGTCTTCAAGGCTATATTCAATATCTTAATTGCTATTTACCGCTCCCCTTTTATTAGTCACCGCCTCCTCCATTTATTCTTTTGCCTTAATCCTTATCTCTCTAAACTTTCTATCTCTCTAAATTCCCGAACTTTTAATGAGCGATTCGAGTACCGAAAAAAATCCGAAAAAATGTCGAAAAAATCCTACAGCATCGACAAAGCGTTCTTCTCTAGCAAGGTAAATTTTTTTATTTTTTTTTTTTTACGCATGAATAATTTTTAAAATTCTTTTTTTTTAATTCTGAAC